TCATAACAAACTGCATCTAAGTGCTTCAAAAAATCTATTTTATTTTAGTAGTCAGTTCAGTAACGCATAGACGGTAGATAAATTAAGCAAATAATTAAAACTCCAAAAAAGCCTTGCCTTGTAGGTCAAAGTAAACAATGCAGGATTTAACGACGGCGCAGGAATATGTTCGCACTTTACTCGAAAAGCTCATGAATGAAACCGAAGCAAAGTTTAGTTTCGCGCTCCCAAAACCGAGAGGAACTCAGATACGGTGGCTTTCCTTTGGAAACTCGCAACTTTTACCGGGAAGCGAAAGTGAAACTTGTTTGTGACGATGGCACCAGTAGAAACTTGTTTCTAAGTGCCACACTGATTGCTTTTGTGGTTGATTTGGCGTGCAAATCAACGAGGTTTTATCGAGTGAAACTTTCAAGTGTCTAAACTTTTAACTAGAGAAACTTTAATAAGTGTCACATACATTGACTTGTTGTGGATATCAGGCAAATCACCAGGTGAGCAACAATAGTTTCAATTTTAATTGCTGCCAGCTTTAGAGCAAATTCAAGACGTTCAAAAGAACGTTTTTTGGTGACCTTTTGCTCAAAACAATGCAAGAACTTTTTTGTTTTGGAAACAAGAAATGGCGTTTTGTTGTTTATTTAAACTTTAAATTTGAATGTTGTCTTTTTAATTAAAATTTGATGGTTCAAAAGTGTCGCTTTATATTCATCGATCATCTTGTAGCTAAAAAGTTGTCAAATTTGAGAGGAAATGTGTTTTTGAGCTAAGAAGCTCCGAATATGCAAATCTGCAGTGTTTGCAACGATAATAAGAAAAAAATCTTCGGTTCAAGATCGTCATCGCTTGAAAACGCGTAAACTTTTCCAAAAATTTCGACTATTTCGGATCTAAAGTTTCTTACTTGTTTTTCAATGATCTCATTGAGATGAAAATGATGCAGAATAAGAGGCATTTGAAAAAATTGGTATTTTTTTTCAAAAAATGGACCACTAATGAAATTTTTCTCTCGTTTTCTGATTCTTGTAAACCATCCTGTTTTCCTTGCTGTACGAACGCTTATCTCGAAATGGATTTGCAATCGGTCTGAGCGTGGCATAAAAATCTTGAGCGGAAACTTCAATTTACATTCAAGGCTACTTTACGGCAGCTTTTAGCATTTATTGCGAGCAACTCATGCCCTAAATTCCGAAGAAAAGTAATTTGTAAAAGTGAACTACATCTCGTGCCTGCTGCAATGCCAATTCGTACGTATTTTGCCAGCAAATGACGAATTTCTTCCGAAAAGTCCACCGGACAAGCATTGCTAGTGCCAAACGAAATGTTGGCTTCGTCAAGAGAAACAGGCAAAAACCCTTATCAATTTCGTATTTTTCGGCTTTTCTTTGTTTCTCAACGCCTGTATCAGACGAATGAAATGTTTTCGTCAGCAGTGAGAGGAAAACGCATAAAACCCCCAGGAAATATTTTGTGGATGTCGCACATCGCCGATAAATTCCCGATGGCAAAATGGGAATTAAATGAATTCAAATGGCGTTTTTATTAGAATTTAAAGCCTGGAAAACCACTGTGAATAATGAATTTGCAAACAGTTGCCAGCAACTTTCAATGCTCGAAGTGATTTATGACGAAAATGCGCGATTGGAGCTCGCTTTGCATAGGCAGATTCAAAGAAAGTTCGACCTGCATTTAAAGGTTTTGATCTGTTTTATTCAAAATTAAAAATATCTATATAAACGGCATAACAAATTAATGAATCGGCCGCAAAAGCCAAATGTCCGAGATGAAATACGCGATTCATTTCGGCAATTTATGTACATAGTCGGATTTGCGGGGTCTTACTCGTTCGTATACTTTCCGACTTTTCATGTCGAATCCTCTCTTCGGAAATGTTATTTGCGCCACATCCTTTTTGAATAATTCAGAGCGTTTTTGTCGAAACAAGCTATGTGAATACGATTCACAATGAAACAAATTGCATTGACCCATAGGGAAATTTCATTTTCGGCTATAACTCTTCGAGTTATTACGGCGTCGATGGGACAAGTCAGGTTTCATCCAAAGCAACTATGTAATTTACAACGGGGAGTTCGAGCTAACATTTGCGTTAAAAATTGCCATCAAAAGACACTAAAACTTTAATGTTATTATTGATTGTAACTCGATCAAATTTGTGGAGTATTTTAAGAAACAATCCGACGAAAAACGAACAAATTTGTGGGTAATTTTCTGGTGAAAAACAGCTTTTTTTAAACAGATCATCATCTTGTGAATAATGCAACTCTGAAAATTTTAACTGTGACAATAGCGGCGAATAATGCACTTACAGGCCCCCATTGTCTATCCGGGAAGAGCCGCTCTAAATCATAGTGAAATAGCCAAAGTTCAGGCACGTTTTCTTAGAAATGTCCTTCTAAAGAACCCGCATGATCCATTTACCTTTCCTGTAAGAGAAATATTTCCTGTATCATTGGAATTTAAAGCTAATTAACACTTGTGACGCTTACAAATCGCATATTTTTGTCGATATCCATCTACAACCCTATAAATTAACCATCCAGTTTCGTCGTCCTGCCGCGTCTGTTTTAAAGTTACGTTTAAAGTTTTTGATGGTTTTCAGACGACGACAAAAATGAGAATTTATGCCTTCGCATCACTGTTTTATTCTTTCCATGCTTAACCATAAAAAGACACCATAAGAGCTCTATTTTAAATTCTCGACAAATTCGCCGGTATTTTGGTATGCGCTCTTCAGCCCGTTTTTAGCCGAACATCACTTTACGCTTGAAAAATCTATAATTGATAATCTAGGGCTTGTAGAGACTTGCAACTTCTCCAGTGCAAGGAAATCACCTGCGTCTACAAATTGTAGAAATATAATTGAAATCAGGAAGTATTCTGCTCTTGTGGACCAGGAAAAATGATCTCACCCACTTGTGTCCCACGTTTGAAAAATTCGTAACTTCTGATCTGCAGCCGATATAAACTTGAGACTCCCCCCATCTGTCTAAAGGACCTGCGCCTGCATATTCTGAAAATTTGAAAAAAATCGCAGAAAACACTGAATTTTTACAAGTTGGTAAATGGCGATCTAAAAATGATCGATTTTACTAATTTGTGTTCTACGTTTGAAAAATTCGTAACTTCTGATCTGCAGCCGATATAAACTTGACACTCTCCCCATCTATCGAGAAGACCTGCGCCTGCACATTCTGCA